ATATCAGGCCTGGCAAGAGTCCATTCTTTCGTGTCCCCATTCCAATGACCCCAAAAACAGCGCCCTTGTGGGGGCATACACATTAGTTGTTGTGCTCATGCGGGAGCAGACGTGTGAGCCTTTTCTGGAAGGCATATTGTGGTGGTTTGAGTGGGGGAATGCCATGCTTCCTCACGGACATCAGTTGCTGTTCATTTTGGTGAGGTGTTGGGTGGTGCGCCTACATCTTTGTTTCATGATGGATGAGCCATTCACGAGAAGACCATTGTCGAGGATGACAATGGGTTGAGTGGGGGAGCTTGTTACGGTCTGACACAGGCTTAGCCTTGCCTACGCTTGGCAGGCTTATGTTAAGGGACATCACCGTCATTTTTGCCTGTAAGATTTTTGGGAGAATTGATGTTATCTTCAGGCAGACCACCAAAAGCTTAACGTACTCTTTGATGAGGGGTGGTCGACCTCCTTGGGTGCCTAACCTTGGCACTCCTAGACCAACTTCCCTTGCGGGGCGGCCCTGGTTAATGGCTAGCATGGCTACCAGGGTTCCTCATGGGCGCACACATGCTCATGGGGACAGTGCATGGACTGGCATTGCGCTACCGACACTCAAGGGAGGCTTGGCATGCGGACCTGGCTCAAGCATGACCCTTCACTACGCCAGCCCCTTGCCCAAGCTGAATGAGTTATCCCGTTGCCCCTAGTGCACGGGTGTGTTCCGGCCCAAGCGGTTGCCTCTCAACATGGTACACAGGGTGCCCACATCATCGGCATACAGGAGACCCTTCACATCGGTGCCAAGTCACCTCTTCTGCACATAGTCGCCTCACTTCATGGCCTTCCCCCTCTAGCACGTAAGCGGCGCCTCCCATGGACCGGCCAGAGCCAACCGAGTGCCCCGACCATGCGACTTGAGGTCATGATCCAGTGCTACTGACCTTGGTGAAGCCATCTCATCGGGCAACTCCTAGCCTTGCAGCACACAAAGACTTGTCTTGGCCTACCTTGGCCTGGACGTCGCACGGGTTTCTTCCGCTGTAGATCTACCCCTGTGACATCAGGCTTTCAGCAACACATAAAAAAAATGGTGATAAAGGAACTCCAAATCCACATTAAAAAGCACCCCCTCTCTTGCTTCTCACCCTTGAGTCAATCAATTCGTTAGCAATTTGCCTACCTTCAACAAAGCCCCTTGATTTTGAGAGAGAGTACTCCCCAAAACTTTCTTCATTCTTCTTGCAATTAGATTTATAGGTCTAAAATCTCTCAGATTTACCGCCCCACCTTTTTGAGGGATGAGAGTGATAAAGGTTGAGTTCAAGCTCCTACTCGAGCTTGATCTCTCATGGAATTCTCAAACACTCACTAAATCTTTCTTCAGAAAATGCCAATTAGTTATAAAAAAAATTGTGAAACAACTGGGGCCTAGAGCTTTATCAACTTCTATCTCGCAGATTGCTTAATAGATCTCTTCCTCAAAGAATTCTTTTTCAAGCTCCATTTGGCTATCACTATCAGATAAGCCATTAAACTGAATATCATCCAACTTTGGCCTGTGGACCTATTTTTCCTTAAACAGATTTTCATAAAAGTTAATTATAGTCTTTTTAATTCTGTTCTCCTCGACCACTTGACCATTCACCTCTACTTTTGAAATTGTGTTCTCCCTTCTAGCATTTTGTTACTTTATGGGAAAAAAAACTGTGTTTTAATCTCTGGCCTTCAACGACAATGCCTTTGACCTCTGCCTCCATTTATTTCCTTCTGATAAGCCAATTTATCATATTGCTGCCCTGCTGCCACTCTTTTCTTTCTTTCATCTTCATTCAGCATCCTTTTCTCCTCTCTGTCTAGCCCTTGAATTATGTTTAAAATCTATCTCATCATTTTTTTGTTTTCAGCTTCTTTAAACACCTCCTTATTCCACCTTCTAATCTTCTCCTTAGAACCTTTTAATTTCCAGCTTGTCACATAACTTGCTGAGCCCTCAACCTCCATCGAATCCCACCAATTCTCCAACATGTTTATAAATCCATCCATCCCAAACCACATGTGCTCAAACCTGAAAGGGGGAGGTTTTGTCTCTCATTTACGACAACTCAACTTAACTGTAACATGGCCCAACAATGGGTGAGGGAGAGCCTCTGTCTATCCTCTCAGTCACTTGACAACAGAAATCTGTAAAACCTCACCAATGTCGGGGTTCCTGGTTATTAGTCCATGTTAACTCTCAAATATATAGTTTACTAGTGAAATTTAAAATATTGCCAATGTATCAGAGATATTTGGAAAAAAAATGATTCTTAGAATACTTTGCATCACTTCTTGCCCATATTGCGAAGCATGGTGTTAAGTACTTATTATGTTGTAATCCTATTAGATTGGAATGAGACTGTGTTTAGCATGTTACCATATGAAATCCATTGTTATTCAGTAAAAGTGTTGCTATGTTTCAATTTATATGATTTCTTGTTTGTATACAAGACTAAAGATTGATTTAGAAATTATGTTTTCTTCTTTTTCAAATTTCATCACCTAGGCGACTAGGTTCTCTGCTCTCTCCTAGAATCACATATACACCTTAGTTACTATATATCCTTTGATAAAGAAAAAAAAATTGTATATTACATTTGATAACACTACCTTTGCTTGTTGACAATTCTTGATTGCTACGATCTGAAAATTGAACTTAACTGTCTTGATCAGCTCAATGTCTGTGAAGCTCATGGATTTAGAGAAACAACAGTAAAATTATTAATTTGAGCCTCTGATTACAAAACTATGGAAACAAGACTGGATATCTAAGATATGGAATATTGGGGAATGTTAGTTCATGGGGTTAAGGTGTTCCATGACTGAGATGTTGAACAAGACCTGGTTCGATTACTTTAGAGAAAAGCAGATACCATTTGATTATATGTGGGCCTCAATGCCAACCACCATGTTGACTTGACCAACTCCTGAGGATTAAACCTGTTCACAGGCCGGGCCGGGTCAGGTTTGGGTTGGGCTTTGCCTCTTTATAAACAAAAGATGACAAGGTCCGAGCCTGAGCCCAACCCTATATAAAGCCCAAAGCCCGGCCTGAACAGAAAATTTTATAATATATTAATTATATATTATACAATGCTTTTTTTGCTACTAATAGTATTATATAATATATTATATATTATATATTATTAGTATAAAAATATATTTTTTATTATATATATATAGTATTATCGAGTTGGGCTTGGGCTCAGGCCGGGCTTATTTGGGAATGGCCAAGCGTGGCCCGAAAAATAGTTGGGCCTGGTGTTTGGAGCCCGAGCCCCAGCTGCGGGGTTAAAAATTTGTCCTAGCCCGGTATAGAACATGCTGGGCCAGGCCAACCCACTAGAGTGTTTTTTATTTTCTTTTTGTAATGAGCAGAGGTGGGTCTTTGTGGATGTGGGGGAAGAAAAGAAAACGATTTTTGGTTTTGGTGAGGGATGAAACATAGGTATTGGGGTTTTGTGGGGTTAAGATATGGGAGATGGAAGGTTTTGCATATATAAGAATAGTATTCTTTTCTACAGTTCTACTTTTTAGAGTTGTTTTATTATAGAAACAAGCTGATTTATGGGCTTGCCAAAGACAACTCACTTCTAATAGGCACTTTCAGATGAAGTTCTATCATTTTTTGAGGGTGTCTTGCCCTCTTTATAGCAGTACAATATCCTTTACTATTTATAAGGCACTTTCAGATGAGTGAACCTGGTCTCTATTTGGACATTGTTCAATGAGCTTTAAATTCATGCTCATCTTCTTGTGAGCTGGATGAGTAAATAAAGCTAGCATGACTGGATTATAGCCCTACCCTGAGTACTTATGTCTCCATAGACTTTTGATTCTTTTAAAATCTTGTGGTAGACCTTCATCATCATCACCTTAGCACTTAAATAATTTCTTACTACTTAACCCACATCCTTTTTGGCCTGCTCCTAGCCCTTCTAGCCCCTTCAACTTGCAACAGATTGCTTATTCTTACAAGTGCTGTAGGTGGTCTTTCTATGCATGTGGCCATCTTAGTCTACTTTCTCTCATTTTATACCTATTGTAGCTACTACTAGGTTCCTTTGAATGACTTCATTTCTGACCCTATCCTTTCTAGTTTTTCCATTCATCCAATTCAGTATATGCATTTCTACCATACTGATTTTTAGGGCATGTTTCTTGAATGTGCAACACTGCTCCATACTGGTCTTTCAACTGTTTTATAGAATCTTCCCTTGTGGTAGACCTTAGATTCTATATTTTTTCCCTTCCAATGAAGGATATTCTATCTACATTACTGTCTTTTTGTGGTGGTAACCTTTGAACAGGATATTCAATCCAAAGTAGTGCTTTGCTTCATAGTTATCAAGGTGTCAAGGTGTGATTAGGTGACAGGATATTACATTCTCCCCTAAGCGTTTAGCAGTCACCTGAGTGTCATCTTAGGACTCTAGGGACTTGATTAGATGGTGGTTTTTTGATAAGTCCTATAATTTATTGAATGTGTAGACATGTACGACTTGTCATTGCCTTGTTGTGTAGGCATTGCTTAGGCATCCAAGTACTCATTTCCTTCATAACCATGGTCTGCCTCTTGCACTGGACAGACTAAAAAGTTACATGGATCTGTCGTCTTAAGCTTTTGCAGAAGAAGGAAAAATGTGCAGAACCTGAAAAGCTAAGTACGAATTTTATTGTCTGCAGGGTTAACCTGTGAGCTGGACTTTTGAGATATCCCTATTAATAGCCTCAATCATACACAACTTCTAACTATACTTCATTCAAGAGATATCTGATGTATTAGCCTCTCTGCTATATGTTCTCTCGTTTGATTTTATGAATTTGTGATTTAGGCATTGTGAAAGAAATCTTAATCTGGTCAATCTTGGCTGAGTACTACTGTATTTGTATCTTTATTTCATGTGGAATCTCTCTTCTGTGTGTGCATGTTGCATATCCATTTTACTTTTAGTCTTTGCATTCTTCAGTGTTGGACAGCAGCTTCTTTGCTAAGGCACAAAATCGACCATAAGGATTCACTTGAACGTGCAAAACAGATAATGAATTTTTACTGCAAGGAGGAGGAAGCAGAACATGTCTACCCTAAATTGCGTGTACTGGGAAAAATATATTCTAGCCGAGAGGATAATGTGAAGAAATCTAATTCTACAAAAGATAATATACCAAGAACTAAGGATGTTGGAGAAAGCGTTTTGCCTGTAAGGGCTTCACAATCCATAGCATCTGATCAGCAAGAGTTGGAAGAAGGAGAGATCAGAGAGAGCTCTCATAGTAGTGACTTTAATCAACAAGTCTCTACCAAAAAAGGATATGCATCTGACTCTGAAAAAGCCAATGAATCACTCAGTAACGACTTCTCAAATGATACTATAAAAGTTGAGAAAATTTTTGCAGAGAGAATAAAGATGCTCCTTCGAAAGCAACAGGAGGAAGTTCAAAAGTTCAATAAAATTAAGGAGAAGCAAAAAGAAGATCTGGAAAAGGAATACAAGTTGGAAGCTGCTCTTATACGAACTATAAATACTAATATAGCAGCTAGATTAGATAAGTTGAAGATTCTGGATGTTGACTTTTCAAGAAAAATGAAAGAATTCATTCGTCTTATGGAGGTACATCAGAAAAAACTTGAGAATTTGCAGCTGGCAGCAAGGAACGAGGAGAAGCAGATGAAGGCTCATTGGTTGGAAGATGCTAGGTCTGGGAGACCAATAGAGGCAGTTGCTAAGCTTCCTTTTCCAGATACGGGGTTCAGCTTCATACAAATGGAAACCAGTGGGCCGGATGTACTGGTTATGTCAGATGGAGTAATTCCATCAGAAACTACGGAAATTGTTCAAAATCAAGTTGATAGGGGCAGCATCCCCATGGAAACATCAATTCCTGAAGTGCAATCAAGTGGGTTGGATGTACCATTAGTGCCAGGTGGAGTGGTACTGCCGGAAGTTCTGGAAACTGTTGCATTTGAAGAGGATACAGCCAGAGTCACCTCTGAAGCATCAACTCCTGCAATGCTATCTAGTGGGCTGATTGTTCCAGTGACTCCAGGTAGAGTGGCACCACCAGAAACCACAGAAACTGTTCAAAATGAAGCAGATAGGTGCGACATCATTGCGGAAACATTAAGTCCTTCAGTGCAATCCAGTGCGCTGGATGTACTGGAAACGCAGGGTGGAGTACAACCATTGGAAATTCTAGAAGTTGTTCAAGATGAGGTGGATAAAGGCAGTGGCAATGTCCCTATTGAAACATTAACTCCTTCAATGCAATTCATGGGACCAGAAGTACCAGAAGTGCCAGGTGGAGTGATACCACCCAGAGCTGCAGAAAGTGCTCCAAATGAAGTGGATGAGGGCATTATACCCATGGAAATGGTAATTCCCATGCAGGCTAGTGGAGTGGATGGTGAAAAGGATAATTTGGCTTCAGAAAGAGAAGATCTTGCTGAATTTCAACAACAGACTATGACAGATAGTCCAAATGACAGAGAAATATCTTCTGCGGAATTAACCCAAATAGATATACCATCTTCAGCTCAGACACACATTCCGTCTGCTCAGGATAATACTTTGCCTTCTCATCAGGTGAAAACATTTTACAGAAAATTGTATTTTCTAGTTTGTTTTTACCTTTCTTGGTAAAAGTTGTTTAAATATTTCTGGATATTATGTAAGATTAACAAGTGAACCCATATGGTTGGGATAATGCATGGAATATGATGATGATAATGTAAGATTAACAAGTATATTTTTAACCAAGGTTTAAAATGTTGATATCGGTGTTAATGTTGGCTGTCCAAATATAAGAAACATGTCAGAAATGTCAGAGATATCATAGGGAAATATTGTAAAAATTATAAACATGGTGGAAACATTGTAAAATATGCAAAATATAGAATGATATTGCATGAAATGATAAAAGAAGCATAAGCACATGTGTTTAAATTATTATCTTATTCCAAATCATTAAACAAAGCTAAGAAACTAAGGTTATAGACAAAAGAATACATTCAGAGATTCATGATAGAATGAGTTGCAGCAAAATTTAAACTCAGAAAATATAAACGGTTGTAATAGATCAGCCAAATAGTATATTACACAACAAAAATTAATATTTAACTTCAAATGAATATTGAGCTAGTAGTGTTCACTAAGGAATATTGCCACCAACTTATGCTATAATATTGTCACTAAGTTAGGCGGGCAATAACATTGTTACTCCACATATCAACAATATTGTCACCAACTTATGCTATAATACTTTCTCTTGTACTCTACAATAGTGCTGGTAGTGTTCACTAAGGAATATGTTGATTCCAGTAAAATTTCTTGTTGCTACCCCATGGAAGTGGAAATGGAAATGGAAATATGTTGTGGAAACTATCTCTTATACTCCACATAGTGCTTGTAGTGTTCATTGTGAATATGTCGATTCTGGTAAAATTTCGTGTCACTACCCATGGAAATGGAAATATGTTGTAAAAATATTAGGGAAACAAGGGACATTTTAAACCATGTTTACGAACAAATCATGTCTTCCGGACATTTTACCTAGTCCATTAGATTTCTGTTTCCATCTCGTGTAAGAATGATTTTGCGTATATACTGACTGTGCTATTGGTAAAAAATGGCTTGTATGCATTATCTATTTGGAACAATTCTCTCCCATTACATTACTTCTATGAAAGAGGATTGGTGAAATTGCAGTCTTACTTGGTTCAGTGCATTGTCAGGTACTCTCTATTGAGCATCCTGAACCACCCATTTCAACTGGGTTGCAAATTGATGGCCCATCAAATTCTGCTGTGTGGAGTCCTCCTCAACAAGTTGAAGTTCCACTAAACACCGAAGATGCTGTACCACCTGAACAATCTAATCATGATAACTTGGCTGTAGCACCTGCTGTGCAATTGCAGTTGCCTCAATCTACAGATCCAGCCTCTGAACACAATCAACCCAATGTAGCTGCAGTTACAGGAAAACAACATAGCCAAAGTAATGAAAGGGGTACTTCTTCTGAACCGGATCAATCACAAATCAAGAACCCAGCTGAGCCACCTAACCATTCTGTTCCACAACCCTCACAGTCATTACTACAACCCCCTACAGAAACACCTTTGGGTAGAAGTGGATCACACGTGTCTGATCCCAGAAGCATGGGCATTTGTCCTGAATCCAGTAGCTGTTCACAAATTCTACCTTCAGGTGGGAGTGGAATACATGTTTCAGATACCAGAAGCACTACCACTGCTCCCGAATCCAGTAGTCGCCCTCCACAAACTACTCTGATTTCACGGATGCCTCAGAACTGGTCCCCACTTCAAGATGAACTGGAAAGACTATGCAAAGAGGAGGAGCAAGCCATTAAGAAACATGAAGATGTGGTTTGTGCCTGAACTCTCTAGTGTTGTTCCAAGGAGTTTTACCAATTGTCATCTTTTTCTTATTCAAAATAACTTCTGATTGTTTGATTAGAAATTGTGGCTTCAATTTCAACGTGACAAGGAGATAGAAGAGATAAATAAGAAGTATGCAACCAAACTTCATGAGGTTGAGACAGCAATGGTGCGGAAAAGGAAAGAACTTGAAGTAAATTATAATAAAGTTTATATGAACCTAGTATTGGCTGAGACTTTCAGAACCCAATACAGTGGAAGACAGGGAGCACAGCAAGGTATATAGCTCATTTAGGATCCTTTCATGAACCAACTTGTTTATTCTTTAAATGTCTAATGGTTTGCTTTTGAACTTCTAGACAACCGTGTTGAAGAGTCCATGGTTTGGGAGTTGATCCTTCTTGGAATTCATACTTGAAATGTTGGTTGTGTGGTTCTATTTTCCTAAGCGATGCTTGTATGATGAAAAACGATTTCTTCTTTCCTGGAAATATCAGCAATTTCCTGTGACAATCGATCATTTGGATTAGGGAAATAAGGCATTCTATGCAATATGAAGAAAACTAATGAAGAAAAAATGATGATAACTTGGGGAAGTTGTGACCTTAGTGCCACATGACACACTGGACAATTTAAAAAGCAGATAGAAGCACCTAAAAAAATCTCGTAAATGATATCTACTAAGGTTTTGAACAGAACAGAATGGCAAAACAGGATTCATGTAGCTGATCCCATATATTTGGGATAAGATTTATGGGGGAAACTTGGATATGATCTAGTTGGATTTTGGATTTTGTTAACTATTCTAGTTAAACAAATGGATATGATCTCTTTATATAAAACTTCGATATGGGGGAAACAGAATGGCATGAATAATTGGATTTTGTTAATTATTCTAGTTAAACAAATGGATATGATCTCTTTATATAAAACTAAGGTTGCAAAAATGATTGCAAGTTTGCAACAGCTGTTCATGTGTTGACGGATAAGGAAACATTGACATCAAGAAGGTTTAATGGTAACAAAATTTCAGGTGTCTAGATCTGTTATTCTATTTGGAAAAATTTGCCCATTTCTGTTCTAGTAAACTAGAGAAGTGGACAGATGGAGATCTACATCAGAGCTATGATATCCAGATACCTGTATTTGTCTAGAACATCAGTGTTGGATATGATACCATATACTACATGGATACTTGTAGATGTACTCATATCATCAACTCTTTTAAAATATGTAAACCTGTATGCTTAACAAATTTTACTATAAAAATCTACATATGTTCGAAATTTAATTAAATCTGGAAAGACACAAGTCTTGTGAAATGACATTTTGCTTCTTTTTTTTCACTAAAAAATGACATTTAGCTTCAAAAGCTAAATATAAACATGTGATAAAAGCATATTACATGGGACACCCATGCCCTTATCTGTGTCACCGATTTTAGAAAATGGAGATTTTTATCCTTGTTATCCCTATCCATGTCTGTGTCCATATTTGTAACTGCTTCTTTTCTCCTTTTTACCTGAACCAATTTTTTCTTCTCCAGCTGCATTCCCTGATGACTACTTTTTCTTAGTAGGAAGATGTTTTAAATTCTGGGCCTACTGTTCTAACCAGCTGGCTCGATTAACACGAGAAAGATGCAGCCTTGAATCCACAGAAATCTACCACCTCAGGATTAATCCTGGGGCCTCTCAACTCACAAAAAAGGACCATGTTATAACTACTAGGGCCAGGAGATGCACATAATTAGAACTGACATATGTTGATTTTCATTACACTACTAGAAAAAAATTAGATTTACTTTGATCCTAACAACCCAAATTAGCAATTAATTGAGATTGGAAATGCAGAATGATCTAAGCTCAACATGCAAGTATGGAAATGCATTTTAATACATCAAGGTGGTTACTCTTAGCATTTAAGTTGGCACAACTTTCTTGCATTGATCTTTTATTTCTTATGCAATGGAGCTTCTGACCTTTATTTTTGTTTTCAGGTGTGTCCTCTAGCTTCATTCAACAGTTACTTTTCCTTTCAGGGCAGCAACAAGTGCCAAGACCTACCATTACAGCAGGCTCGTCTGCAGCCGCACCAGGGCATGTTGTCCACCATTCTTCAGCACTTTTCTCAAGCAACCCTGCCAGATCACACTTCAGCTCCATTGTCCCTACCACAGGAAATCTCCAAGCTGGCACAGAACAAAGAGCCCCAGCCCCACATCTCCAATCCTGTAGACCATCTGTATCTATGTCAATACCCAACTCTCCTGTTCCTCGTCCAATGCCTAGTCATCAGTTCCTTGCTACTCCTGCTGCTACACCTTCGTTGGCAGCCAATCTTACATCTGGTGTTTGTGCAATGCCCAATCAGCAGCAGTCCCTTGGTAATCCTTCGGCCACTTCTTCCATTCAGCATCTATTTCCCCAATTGCCTATCAATGCAGTGGGGCATTTTAGCAGAAGTCACCAACCTGATGCTGCAGGTGGCTCTCCATTGTTAGTTGACACTTCCATGCCTTCTCGTGATCATCTCATGGATATTGACAACCACCAGATTGCAAATCCATCGCAACTGTTACAAACTTGCCAAGAAACCTTGAGCACAAGGGGCACCTCTGAACTTGCAACTGGAGGTACGGTACAGGGAGCTGGAACCGGAAATTGTATGATGGCTGATGTTGTTTATTTGTCTGATGATGATTGATTATCTATGGAAGACAAGTGCTATTTTGGGATGGGAGGGAAAGGGTCCTTGTATAATATTGTAACATATTGCACATAGCCCCATTATTGTATGACATCTTTCTGAGCCTTACTATCAAAGATAGCAGTGCTGATAACCGGGAATTGTGTAATGAAGACTACAACTCACAGGAATGAGCTGCTAACATTTTCAATTTTTTCTGGTGGATGGAACTGATCATTTTTGTCCATAACATGTCATTGTATTTAACTTCAAACCCCGCATAGTTCTACCATATTGCTTATAAATCCATATTCCTTGTGTTCTTTCTGTTTTTCCCCTTCATTTCTCTTTAGTGGAATCCTATTCTGTTTTTGTCCTGGTCGATGCTATATTTCTTTTGATAATTATCCCTATAGCAATTTTTGGATACGAGCCTTAAAAATATGGAGAATAATGCATGATGTGCAGGTGCAGCCTCAATGTATTTTTGTACATGAGCATGGATCAGACTGAATCTGGGGTATTTTGTTTCATTTTGTAATTTGGTATTTTGGGCTGGATTATCGCTTCATTGTTCAGTTGGCTTGGTGTTTCAATCTGAGTTGGGTTGCGATACAGGTTGGGCGTTTGGGCTCTGTTGCAATCTTTTCTCTTATTTTTATATATTTTAATAACATTTTTGTGTAGCTCATTTCCACAGCTGGCTGAGGCGTTTTCATTTAAGGCAATGCTTGGTTTGAAGGAAAAGGTAGGGAAAGGAAGGGAAAGACAGGGAAACCTATACAAGGTTTGTAAAGGTTTTTCTATCTTTCCCTACCTTTTCCTTCAAACCAAATACAGCCTAAAGGAACTCTGATGGCTTTGATTTGAAATCCCATCTAAAAAGAATATCTTTTGAAACTTACTGCAAGGGTTAGTTTCTGTTTAACAAATCCTTCGGATTGCCAAAAGGATCATTTTGTTATCATGGGATTAGTTGTTTTGAAAAAGTACGGATAGGCCTAATGTAGATTTCTGATTTTCACTGCAAATCTATAAATATTCAAAAGGTCAAAAAATCATACCCTATGCACCCATACTCACTGCAAAATCATTCTCCTAATTGTTTTTGTTAGCCAGTGTTTGTCATAGCCAGTGTTTGTCAAAGTCAAGTTTTGAGTAATTTAGTTTGACTAGTAAATGTATTGACAATTTCAAATAATAATAATAATAATAATATCATTATTTAGAACTGACGTAAGACAAGTGATCAAATCATGGTATATCAGTGGATTTGTGACCTTTCGACCTTTCGACCTAACTTAAAATCATTCTACTTGTAATTCATATTAAATTATTAATGGCTTCGATGTTTAGTTGAATCAGTCACTCAGACTAATTGACATGTCACCTAGACATTTTCAAGTTTTCTCAACCCAAATCACTTTTTATAAAAGGTGAAAACTGTTTGCTTGGTCAACAAGATAGCTTGGTTGAATTATTGACTTCCTATTCACAAATTGCAAAAAAAAAAAGAAATGAAAAGAAAAGAAAAAGAAATGAAACAAAAATAAAACTGTGACATGGTCAACAATATGAGAACTTGGCTATTTGAACCATTGAATTGTTTGAGTTGGTGGGGTCATGGGATCTATTCCATTTCCATTATTACTAACAAATTCTTATTTAACACACTTTTTTAATATGATGAATATTTCATATTAGAGAATTGCCATATTTTTTTTTACAAATTCTCTATATTTTTATAGTTTTTTATTTTTTTATTTTTACTTTTTTAATTATGACATCATGGGTCGACCTATTTGACCTTGACAACTAAACCACTAACCCACCATCTAGGTGTATAAAAGTTTATTTTTTGGTCGATTTTAAAGTTTTGTATTATATTTTCATCATCAATAAAATATTTTTCACTTATTTTTTATTAATATGATAAATATAAATATTAGGGACGTGCCCAAATGTTTTCTATAAAACTTGAGTATTAATTTTTCTATGGACTTTTTTTAATTTTTATTGTTCAATTATGATGTCATGGCTTGACCCATTTGACTTAAGCGGCTGACCCACTAACCTACCATCCAAACAGGAAAATGGTTTTCCTTTCAGGGTTGATTTTAAATTTTTTATTCCATTTCATCATCAATAAAAATATTTTTTTATCTACCATACATACTTTTATTTAGTATGTTGATTATATAACATTAGAGATATGCCAAAATTTTCTCCACAATTTTTTTTTTATTTTTATCTAATTTTTAAAATTTTATTATTTAATTATCGCATCATGAGTTGCTCCATTTGACTTTGATGGTTGAATTGTTTACCCATCATCCTAATGAATTAAAAACAGTTTCATTTTTAGTCATTAAGTTTTTATACTGATAAGATTATTATGTATAGATTTAATTAGTAGAATTTTCCTTGTAAAAAGGATTTAATTAATAGAATTAAATAGAGAGAAACAAAAGATATCTTAACCATCAGATTTAATGAGAGAGAAAGAATTTAATGCATTAAATATAAGACATAGTGAGAAAGAACTAATGAAGTAAAAAGTAGTCATTTGAATTATGTTTTCTGTCCTCACAAAAGAGAGGGGCCAAATTAAAAATGCAGGAATATTTTACTTGAGAAAAAAGTTAAAAAATATATTTTTCTCAAAGAAAAAGAGAGAGATACAGATAGATTTGAGCAGTAGCTTTTTGGTTATATGTAGTTTATTACTTTGTTTTGCTTGGTCTGGTTTTCCTTTCATCTTCTGTCTTTCTCTAATGAAATTGATGATTACACAGAACAAGGATTAAAAATTTCTTTTGTTTTTATTTTTGGCGGGGACTGAAAAAAGTGAAAAATGATTCAAGTGGCAGGTGTTGAAAACTGAAAGTGTATAATTTTCTTGAGAGTCTAAGAGTTATAGCATTTAAATGCAGGTGGGTAGCCTGTGTAGGATTTTATATTCTTTATCTTTTATTAATACTGGTGGGGTAGGGTTCGAGTTATGTTTTACTGAATAAAAGATAAGATGAGGGATAGTCTTAGGCGCCATCTGATAACAGTTGAGTTCAAATATTTTATTATTATTATTATTATTATTATTATTATTATTGTTATTATTATTATTATTGTTGTTGTTGTTGTTGTTTAGTTAATTTTTTCAGAAAAAGACAAATTGATAAATCATTCAGTTCAGTCATTTCAGCGGTTATCAAACACTATTTACTCTAATCTATTTTAGTAGAGACCTGGGACTGAGGATTCCAGATCTCCTGCCCATGAGAACTCTGTTCACGCCTACCTACAATATACTACCCCCGTGAATTGGAAACATCTCCCCTTGCATAATACTATGCGATGAGATGTTCTCTATGTGTGACTGCGATAAATGTGGGCAAAGTTCTCATGGGCAGGAGATCCGGACTCAGGACTGAGTCCCCTCAACCCTGATAAAGGAAGGACCAGTTAGAAACTTTACCAGAAAATTAGCAAGTACCTTCATTTTAGTGAATTTTAATGAGGACATAACATCCACTATAATCAGACAACTACAAGGATGCATATGAAAGAATGTTATATATATACTATCATCAATACCTGATATGGATAACTTGAAGCCCAATCAAGTTTGTATTTTGAAAGGAAACAGGTTTGAAGACTTTGGAAACTACTGTTATAACTAAAGCCCAAAATAAGAGTCCAACTATGATTCATTTTGAACATTTACTACACGTTAAATCTCATATGGTCTATTTACTTTTTATTGGTTCGTGTTTCACAATGCATACTTACCACTAAAGATTTTAACAAGTGAGATGTATTAGTTTGTCAATGACTCAAGTTTTATTGCTTCATGGTGCAATTCATGTACCATAGATTTTGTCTCAAAAATAAAGAACATAATCCAAATAAAGCACATAAAGCCAATGCAACCATTTGATAAACTGCCAAAAACAATTATGTTCAAACATAAGAAAGCCAATACACATGAGAAAAAGAACCTTGAGATACCACTAACGGATTGATCAAAGCTAGTTTTAGTCCACAAATGTAAGCTAATTTGTAATAGAGGCTAACCACCATTAGAAGTTGAAGATTACTGGCATAAGGCGGGAATTTCTATTTCAAACAATTTTCACAGCCCAACATATATATCCAATTACATTGGTGGTCCAAATTTGTTATATCATGGTTTTTTTTTCCCAAAAAGAAAATGAAAATTATAAAAATATAAAAAATGTATATATTTTAAAGGATTTCCATTGTATTATAGGAACGGAACAAACTATAAGATGAATACATCAATAATCTATTAAACTCATTGTCCACACAATAATTTATGTCAAAAATGAATTTTTCATCATTTAAAAATCTGAAAAAAAATATATATTTTATATATTCATGATATGGAAGAACCATAAGATGGATCTACAAATGATATATAAATCTCATTGATCCAACAACAATTTAATATGTCTTATTATGGGTTTGTAGTAAATTGGGAAGCTCAAGCACTGTTTGATGTATTATTACTAAAGTTGTTAATTGTATGATATCTATATGTTTCAGACTCCCGGCATTGTTGATTGTAATGTATCTTCTCATATAAAATATCTAAGTGTACACTTCTTACGTGTTTATATTTTGTCCATAGTTATTGCAACTTTAGATTTATGAGATTTGTTAGAGTTTCCTTAAATATATCCGCATGTACCCAAATTGTGATACATATACGTGTCCAAGTTAACTAATACAATATATGAAATCAATATTTTCAACCTTTGTGGTGATCAATGAGTATGATCATTTCTTGTTCACTGAAAGGGATTACTCCTTTCCCTGAATCAGGAGATCATTTCACAGTTCTCACAGTTCAAACTACTGAAGTTGTTTTTGGTACCGTTGTTTCTACAAAAACGTTTTGGGTTGATCAATACAAGTTGATCAGAAATGTATTGTCACATCATATATAAAGGTCATAAAAATGCATGTGTCCAACTGATCCTTAACATCTATGGTTGAAACATCAAATTTGACATTGGCATTTCAGGTAGAAACAGTAGCTTGTATTGATCAAATCCAAAATTTGTCAGGTAAAAAAATCTCACTGATTTGTATTGATCAACATAAAAATGTTTCAGGTAGAAACAGAAATGTCACCAAACACAACCTTGACTAAAGTTGTCTTTAGATTTAGTTCATGGTCCTTGTTAAACATAACAGAGGTGAAAAGCAATGGAATACCAAAAGATGACTGTTCCTCTACTTCTCTTAACGATTGCAATCTGAAGTCGCTATTTGCCTCAAATTAGTTGCAGTCACTGACTCGCTGTTTTAACAGAAATATTGTACTTTTTTTATTTAGAAAAGGGTAAGAAAAGTAAAGGAAAGAATTTTCTGAAAATTATATTTTATGAAAAAAAAAAGTATTACAGTTTTAGATCAGGGTGCTATTTCTTTTCTTTTTGTTGGAGTAGTAACAAAAAATTTATTGAAAATGTTCAAAGAAGTAAAGATTACATGATAATCATGAGCCAGAGGCCACATTTTATTTTGCCTAGTTGCCGCTGGATATTTTCTAGTAGATGCCTTGTAAGCTAATAGCCAAAACCAGTAAGGCTGAGTAATTCAATGGCTAGAAGCAATCCATAATATAAATATTCTCTTCCTCTCTGTTGAAGCCATCTAGAACCAATCCATAAGACCTCTGCATGGAAGAACTTGTAGACATAGCTCCATGAGGTGGACAAAGTGTATACTGCCATAGAAAAACCAGCCTTCTGTAAATATTCTTAGAGACGATCACAAACTGCCTTTGTGAAATCCGAAGTTGTTGAAGTGCCACCAAGGTCCATAGTTCGGTGCTTCCCTTCTGCAATAGTATTGAGGATGGCATCTTGGATTTGATCCGCTTTATCATGGAGTTTCAGATGGCGCAGCATTGCAACAGAACTCAAAAGTAGAGCAGTTGGATTGGCAAGATTCTAGATTGGTTTGATTAATACCCAATTAGAAACAAAAATAAGAAAGCCAGTAATGGATGAGAACCATAGTGGAAATTTTAAGTTGTGCATAAATTGGACAAGGAATGGTGAAACAGGGTTCATGTAAACAACCCCATATAGTTGGGATAACCCTTGGATGATGATTGTGATGATAAATAGGACAACGAATTGATGGGAACAAGAGTGCAAAATATCATCTAGGTTTAACAGCTAACCTTTCCAGCAATATCAGGTGCTGATCCATGCACAGCTTCAGCCAAAGCAATACCTCCCTCACCAATATTGCAACTGCATATAAAGTTTATGGACGTAAGAGGATCTTTATGGATGGATAATATACTTAGTAATATTCTAACTGAAGATGATGATATAAAGGTAGAAACCTAGGTGTTAATCCCAATCCCCCAATCAAGCCTGCACAGAGGTCACTGATGATATCACCATAGAGGTTTGGCATCACCAATACATCAAAGAGTGCTGGATTCTTCACAAGCTGTTTAAAGCAACACAAGACAGTCAGAGTTTATACTTGGTTCTTCTTTCAATTTTTCTTTTCATAAATAGCTTCTCTTGATTCCATGCCTATGAAGACTACTTTTGTATCTATGTTGGTACTGCAAGATGGGGTCTTGAAACCATGACATTAATGTGAGGGTATACCTCCATACACAGCTAGTGCTGCGCTGTTTGACCCACAAAAACAGTTAATACATTCATGTGTGAACAGAAAACATACCATCATGCAACAATTATCAATGATAACTTCCTCATACTGTATATCAGGGTATTTCTCCGCAACTTCCCGGCAACACTGAAAGAAAAGAGCATTAGAAAAATATAAAGCTTAAGATGAAACAGTCAAGTTGATGAGGTAATCTGGAGTTCGAATTTCTACAACAGCTGACCTTGAGAAAGAGACCATCAGTCTTCCTCATAATGTTGGCCTTGTGTATGGCAGATACCTTCTGTCGACCATGAGTCTTGGCATAGAGGAAAGCATACTCAGCCACCCTCAAACTTGCCTGGCGTGTGATGATCTTGAGACTTTCGACTACACCTCTAACTACCTAGCATCACAGGCACACGTCTAAATGTTTCTGATGGATACATGCCCATTCACATGTTAAAACCACTGAAGCAGACTTACTTGGTGTTCAAGACCACTGTACTCTCCTTCTGTATTTTCACGGATAGTGATGAGATTGACATCATCATATCGTGTTTTGTAGCCAGGAAGGCTGTTGCAAGGTCTAACATTGGCATACAAACCAAGTTCTTTCCTGAGAGTAAGGTTCAGTGACCGGTGACCCTTTCCAATGGGTGTGGCCATGGGACCTTTCAAGCCCACACCATTTCTACGGACTGATTCCAGACTTTCCCATGTTAGGAAACTCTGTGTTCTAGGGTCGATTTCAGTCCCTACATGGTGTTCTTCCCATTCAATTGGTACATCAGCTGCTCTGAAAACCTGCATTTGTTCAAATAATGCAAGACTCTGCTATATCTCTCAAAGATGCATTCAACATTTCAAATTTGTTCAAGGAAAGTATCGTTTTTTTCTTGTTTTTTTTTGTATTAAAGGAAGTATCAGATTTAACTAATTGAAAAGCATCAATGGCTTGTCCACGAGGTAGACCATTATTAATTCAAATAAATGCTTGGGTAGTTTCAACTATCAGTCTATCACAGATAAGATGATTCACGAAAAGAAAAAGGAAAAAAAAAACTCATTAGGTATCTTCTCCAAATCCTAATTCCGATCTACTATCCCTATCGCTTTTACTATTGAACTTTATGCGAATTCAATCAATTAAATAGCAGGAAAACTCATCACGGGGAAATCAGGAGAACAATGAAAACAATAGATTTTTTCATCCCTTCTTTATTTTCTGTTTAACTTAAAATCTTCAATTGATCGATCGAGCGAGAGAAAACTGAGCCCAGACAGAGAGAATGAAACCGATCAAATTGTAATTTCCATTAATGGTATGGTATAAAAAAAAAAAAAAGGAGAAGTTTTACCAGGAATCCAATGCATCACAAATTGTAAACAGAAAGAAACCGAAATAAACAATCTGAATTATGATTTCGAGAGTTAACCTGTCTCACGGATTCAGCAATCTCCGGGCCAATTCCGTCACCCGGAAACAGAGTAGCTCGGATTGGATTAGAAGGAGAAGCAAAAGAAGAAAGGCTCCGATCGAGAGACGAGAAAACCTTACTGGCCGGATTGGGGTTCTTCCCCAACTTCGTCGACAACAGTTCCGTGGAACGGTGTCTGAGAGCGCGTCCGAGAATTTGGGAAGCCATGAATGAAGTGATGAGAGGGACGCTGCGTTTGGACTCTGGACATTGAAGGAGAACCTCAGAACCCAGAACAATTAAAAGTGCATGGCGGCACGTGCAAGAAAACAGTCTCTCTTAAGGGTTTGCGGTTTGCCACTTGCCAGCCGGCCCAGAAGTCTTATGAACCGGACCGGATCCAAATCTCCCTCCATTTTCACCCGATTTTCCAGTTTCTTCCCCGATCCAATAAGCCTTGAACCATTCTTGTGCGGCTGGCTCAATTTGTGTTTCAGGCATCTCCTTGCGTGATGTTAGAGGTGTAAACTGGGCCGTGTCGGGTCGTGCCGTCCTCTCCAGTGAAAACATTGGGGGTCAGCCTAGCACGGCCCACGGCCTGGGCTGGTGTCGTGGGTCGGGCTGGCCCGTGGGTCGAGCCTTGGGTCAGGTCGGGCCGTGTATCGGGCCAAAGCTATTTATTTAAAAAAATTGACAAAAAACTTAAAATTTTAATTTTATATGAATTTTGTGTATAAAATTGTTTATATATGCAATAATTAAATAAATTAGTATAATAAAATTAAAAAAAATATTTATTTTATTAATATATTATATACTATATATTATTATACAATTATAATTTATATAATATTATATAACTATATATATAATATATAAATATATTTAAAATATATATATGGGCCGTGCCGCGGGCTATGCTGGGCCAGGCTGCGCGCTGGGCTGTGCCGGCATGCAGGCCATGGGCGGCCTGGCCCAATTTACACCTCTAGGTGATGTTTGGTATCATTGACGTTTCCTCATCCAACAGCCATGTCTTGCAATTCAATAAAGTATGCGTTTGGTTACGTTGGCGTTTATTGAAAAAATGTTGCCACATCAGCACCACATAGATGTTAGCGTTTATTGCAGATGAAGCAAATTGAAACAACTGTTTCTTTTCACCGTTTATCAATTCAAGAAAATGGTAGAAAACTGAAATGCTTTGATTTTAACGTTTTGATTTTTGTGCATGGGCCATTTGGGGAAACGTCAAATTCTTGTTTCCCCCAACGCCCTAGCGTTTCTTGAAACTAAATGCTAATGTGGCACACTTTAATGGGTATTAATCTGAGATGGAAAATAAAAAACGTTTAAAGTGAAGTCCAATCAAACAATAAAAACAGGAAACATTTAAAGTGAAAAGGTAAAAATAAACGTTTAAAGTAGGGGTGTCAATGGTATTCGAAAATCTGATTTCGAATTCGAGATTCAGCATAATCGAATCAAATTCGAATAATTTGAATAGCCAATCGGTCGAATTCAGATATAACGTGATTCAATTCGATAAATATCCAAATTCAACCGATTATTTACTTCTTATATATAATATATAAAATTTTTAAATATTTTATATAATTTATATATATAACAATTAAATTATATAAATAATTTATATATTTATATACTTTATATAAATAATTATTAATTACCTAAAATAATTATTTAGTCGAATTTGAATCAAATCGAATATTCAAATATTTTATCGGATTCGAATTCGAATATTAATTTTCAATATCTGTCGGATATCGAATCAAATTCGGATATTGGAATTTTTAATCGGATTTGGATTCGGATATTGACTGATCCGATTCAAATTTGATCCATTTACACCCGTAGTTTAAAATGAAAAAATATAAATAAATGGCCTACCATAAATGCCCACGAAAGTAAAACATCATTTTCATTACAAGAAATGTTAAAATGATGTTTCATCCAATGTCCCATTTATTTACAAATTTCTAAAGTTTATTTACTCTGATTTCCGGATGACATTTTTATTCATAAGAAAGTAATATTAAAAAGGATAAATTTGTTCATCATATTTTATAAACTTTTCCCTATGTTGAAAGTTAATAAAAAAAGAACACTTTAAAATTGGTCAATGGGAAACAGATACCCATTGACCAACTTTCCCCTTTTATTTACTAATAAACCAACGGCGCTTAAAGGTTATTTTCACATAATTCGTTTTACTTGAAATGGCTTGAAGACGTTCAATCATCAAACAAAAAAAAAATAATAATAAGAAAGAGAGCAAAACGCCAATACTGATTACTGACACGCCAAAAACGACTCTAATACCAAACACCGTCCCAAGCACAAAACCCAAAACTTGTATGTTGTAATTGATATCTCCAGGACTCCTAGAGCTATTTTCACCTGCATAAGCTCATTCATTGTTAGGCCCATAATGGCAACGTACTTCAGGCCTGAAGATGTCTTTTATGCCTAGTGGTTGGCTCGGCCCAGACCAGCCCAGCTGATTGCCATTACAAGGCTTCCAACTGTAATTCCGATTCCAATATAAATATGCACTACTGTGGTGTTTGGTTTCTGTTGCTCTCTTATTTTATATCAACCAAAAGGAGTCAAAGTAGAAGGTTCTCCGGTGGGGTCAAAAGAGGAAAATTTGTGGTTGATCTCAACCGTGTAGCAGATTTCAGCTTTCAGCTGAACATATCACATGCAAGGTTCCAAGTATCACAATATATTGGTGTATATCATATAATATTTACCGGTTTTCAGGGTCACTACACATTGAATACTATGGTTAGGACGATTTAATAGATTGAAATTTTAAAATTCATCTCAACAAACATAGCGAAAATCTATAATAACATTTGTAACAAAGGCTCAGTTTGGAAGGAGTGTGATGTTACGCGATCTGGTGCTTTCTGTTGGTGGATAGTTTGAATTTCAGACTGGTGAGGTCATGTGGTTGAGTTGTAAAGAGAGAGATCAGAGTATTTGGGTTGTTTTATTTAGGGTGGGCATTCTGATGCTTAAGTCAGTAATAAATTCTTGGAGAGCTAAAAAGAGAGAACTATTATGCTTGAGAGCTGAATCACGTGTAATTTTCTTGAGGAATGGGACGTCTTTATTATAGGCGCAGCTTGTCATGGGCTTCATATAGTGTGTTCGAGCTCACCGGCCCATCTGGTTCGGATCGAGGAGGTTTCACGCTCGAAAGCGGACTCTGCGTAAAGTGATAACGCTTATCCAGTTGCCTTCAACGTGGGCGGGATGGGAGTCAGTTCTATTGAAGTGGCTACATGAGTCAGAGGAGTCGAAGATGATAGCCCGCTCATGAAGTAGTCTGCCTGCCACATCGTACAAGTCGCCAATTGGATCTCGGTCATGTTGGAAAAGGTATATCGCCTCTTACACCAACCTGACACCTTTTGAGGCGTCCACAAGTCATCCTACAAAGGTGGGGTTGTGGAGGCTGAGACGGGTGTGATGTGTCCAAAGTACTCCTGAAGTTTCTGCTTACATGGAGCTGAGATGTCATTTGATAATTCTGTAATGCCATGTGTAGCGATGTCATTGGAGGGCTAAATCACCCCTCATCAGAGTGCAAATACAAATATGTACAATGCAATGCAAAACCTTATATTTTGTAATGTTTTTGAATGTATTTGCACTCCTTCCAAACTGAGGGATATTTTGAACCTTAATTGTTGAATATCGGATGTATTTTGAGGCTCTTTGATGAGTATCTTATCTTATAAATTAAAAAAATAAAAATAAAAATTTGGAGTTATTTATAATAAAGTAACATTTCAATTTACAGATGCCAGAATGAATAGTGTTGGTAAGCCAGGGCCTAATGATACGTCCACATGCAAATTTGGTGGGTTTGTCTAGGGAGTTTCCCACACAGGTAGGATACCTTCTACCACATACAAACATAAATTGAAACATCTTTTTCACCAGAGCTTTTATAGTAATAGAAGCTCACTTCCTTCCAAAAGGGAACAACAGAAAGTATGTTCATGTGCTTCACATGTACCCACCCACTAGCAATTAACTTTCATCAGCATCCCATCCTACAATGTACCCAACTCTATTATGTTATTTTTCCTGCTTTTTTATCTTATATTTCCATGAAAAATGTTTTTTTTTTCTTTTTTGCTCAAAGATGAAAGTGAGATTTGTTTCATGGAACATTTCTGTGCTCAAAGATGAAATTATTATTAATTAATGTTATTTTGAAGTTTTTTCCCTCATTATTTTGATCTCCTCTTGTCAATTCAGTTCAGTGTTTGAATTTCTAAATGTTACTGACAATTTCTTTTCTCAGTCTTCCTGTGAAGGTTTTCAACTTTTCATGTTTCTTAAGCTAGGGCCTTTTCTTTTAAACTTAATGAGGGGCAGTTTGATAATGGTTGGAGTGGCTGAAATGAATGATTTGGTGTTTTTATCTGCTCAATTTCAGCATCAGCCACTCACTAATGAATCCACAACTTAAAAACTTATTCACTTAGGCTGTATTTGGTTGCAATGCAAATAAATTTGCACTGATGTAAAATTATAACAGTGAAAATGATTTGAGTGAAAATTTTGATATATTTTATTTCAAATTTTAACTTATCTTGTTTCATTGTAGTACAAATAAAGTAAATTAAGATATGAAGCAGAATAAAGTAAAACCCAAAACAAAATTAAATGAGAATTTGCTTGATTTTTTATTTGTACTTCCATACATTTGTACTAGTGCAAATAAAATTGCATTGCAACCAAACACAGCCTTAGGCTCAGTTTGGAAGGAGTACAAATATAAATATGCATAGTGCAAAACCTTATGTTGTGTATTATTTTGTATATATTTGTATATGTACTCTTTCTGAACTGAGCCTTAGGCTGTGTTTGATTGTAGTGTGAATTTATTTGCATTAATGCAAAACTATTGCAACACAAATGATATGGGCGCAAATAAATGAAGTAAAATAAGACTGAAACAGAATAAAGTAAAATCCAAAATAAAATCAAGGGCTCAATATTTATGTTTGGGACTGGGTGGGTGATTTGGTGTGGAAATCTTATTACTTATTACTTATTACATAATACATATTTATATTTATATGTTCCAAATATTTATGTTTTTTCATGCGTGTGGGCCCAAGATAAAATCGTAACAATACAACATGAAGACCCAATGCACATATACCGGAAATAAATATATAAAAGGTTGAGTACGATCCGGTTGGATTGGGCCCATCCAAGTTCAATCTTGAGCTATGCGA